TTCTTGGATTAGTATAAAGATATAATATGTAGTAACAAAGTCTTTTATATAGTTATATTTATACTTACCATAAAATTAGATGGTTATTTTTAACCTTAAAAATATTGTATATGTTAAATTGTGATCTTAGTAGATAAAATAAAATAATATTATTGTGTTTCTAGATCTGTTATATTTTATAGCATCTAAAAAAAATAATGAAAGGATGCCATGGATGAACATAATAATGACCCTTATGAACAGCAACTTTACGCTGTGTTTCAAAGTTGCTTAACGAAAGGAGAATCTGAACTACAAGAGGGTAATTGGCTTACTTTATGCCATAAATTACATCTTACAGAACAGAGTGAAGAGTTGAAGTCTTATATTCAGCATCATACGCAAGAAAAACATTCGATAACATTCCAAGAATTTCGAACAGCTCTATTAACTTTATTAGACAAAACACAGGCATTAGTGGTCCATACGGAGAAAGATTCTGTGGCAGAGTCACAAAGCAACCTAAATTCACCCATTTTAGATAGTAAAATATGTAGTTCATTATCACCCACTAATTCCAGATCTACTGTAGATATCCTAAAAACAGGTAATTAAACATTATAAAAATAAATACGTATTTCTAATTAAAACTGACAAGAAGAAAACATTTATAAAATTCATAAAGTAATATAAAATATTATTTTACAGGTGCAACATTTGATGAAAATAGATTAAAAAGTCTATGGGAGAAAATAGACAACTGCTTAAAGGAAAATGTAGATTGTGCAACAATGTATTTTATATCTGATTGTTTAGGGATCCCAGCTCTTCCAAAACAAGTAATTAAAAACACATAATTCATTTCTTGAAATCAAGTAAATTTTCACTGATTTTATATAAGTTAATAATAGAAATGTATTGTACAAGTTAATAATTAGTACATTTCTATTTTTTTAATTGTTCTCTTTTATTTAGAATAGCTTTGGAAAGCATACTTACAAGCATTTGAAATTAATACAATGATTTCTTATACAGATTATACAATGCATCTTCGAAAAACTTGACCAAAATTGTGATGGATTAATCAGTTTGGATGAATTCTTCATCATATTTCAAAACAGGACGACTATGGAAGAACAATTAATACTAGATAAAAATAATGCATCTATAAAGGAATCAATTAAATCAGATTTTAGAAAACGTAATTTTGACTTACATACTCCTCGCAGAGCTAGGTATAACAATATGAAAACTATACAAGTATTTTGTACTTAATATCTTTGATTATATCACATTTCATTTTTGTTCATGGAACAACAGTTTTACAAGAAATAATACGTACCTGGACACATGGAAACTTTCTGGTCTTACAAACACGTCTTTGTTAACGGATAGAAATATTAAAACTTCAGAAACTTGTCTATCCGATTTAACAACTACCTTGTGTGAAGAATTGAAAAATTTTAATGAATCATTGGATCATTCTTCAATTCGGTCACATATTACGTTGTTGCGGGATGTCTTGATACTGTATCAAGAAGAATTGCACAGTTTGAAGTATACAACAGATTTATTAACTGAATCTTTGTAATGAGGAAAAATGTAAATAATTAATAACAAAAATTTTTAACTTTTAGCCTGTTGATAGAGAGTAAAAACAGTGAAAAGGAAAAATTACGTGCAGACATCATAGAAGCTAATGAACGTGCGAACACTCTTGCTCAAGAAATTGATGAACAACATACACAACAAGAAGTAGTTTTACAAAACCTCCGAAAACAGCTTGACCAACGTCATACTGAAATCGTACAAGATCTTTCCAGTCAACTTAATTCTGAACGAGAAATAAATGCGCGTGCTCTCAAGGCAAAAGATGATCAACTACAAATACTGCAGAAAGAAAATCATGAAATTCGAAATAAATTTGTAAATACTTTGCAAGAAAATCAGATTTTAGAAGCAGAGAATGAGAATCTTCGTA